TTGTCAGCAATGGATAGGTGTCGCCTAAAGGGCGGACCATGAATGCGAACGATATTCGTAACTGTTTGTACGCGCTCCCAATCTGCGACTCGCTTAAACGACCATCGGAGGCGCGCAGTGGTCCGTTCGAGGCTCTGCCCTAATCGAACGAGATGCTCGAGGCGGTGATCTTCCATATTAGCGCTGATCCACTGAGGACGGGTCAAGAGCTGGCGCCGGTCGCGTCGGCTTACCCTCTTCTTAAAACGGGCACGTCTTTGACGCTCGCGCTTGCGGACGGTTGTGATGCACTGTTTGCATGCTTCCACAGCTGAATCCCATTGCCTGACCGTCGTAGTTGGGGATACCGCCCACCCATCCATTTCCGCAATGAGATCGGAGCGCACGCGTTCGGGTTGGTGTGTCTGAATGGGGTATGATACCGGACGTCGGTAGAGGGAGGAGGTAGGACGCTGCCGCACGCGTAAGTGTAACTCCACTTCTTGATGGTCCGACGCCTGGGGAGGTGTTCGGACGGCTAACCACTGCACCAAATCAGCCCACCGCTGAGAAACATAGAAACGATCAATGCGACTTGCCGATTCCCCCTCCCAGTATGTAAAATGATCCACACAGTCGTCCGCTTCCTCATCTTCGGCGTGGGAGCGAAGGAGCCGAGCATCTTCTAGTCCGTGGAGATCCAGAAGAGCTTGAAGACTTGGGCTTTCCGGTCGGCACGACCGATGATGACCCAGCCGATCGAGGAGAGGGCTTTGGACGCAGTTAAAGTCACCTGTCACGATAGAGCTGTCCCGTGGAAAGTTCCAACGGGCGAGAGAAACGTAGTAGGCTTCGCGCTCGGGTCTGAGCGACGGAGCGTACACATTAACGAGGACCACATCGTCTAATGCGACAGCGATCGTCCTGGTATTCCACAAATCTTGCCGCCAGGGTGAAGCCTTCACAGATGAAGAGGGTGTAAGCAAAATGGCCACTCCCCCAAGACGAGACGACCCTACGCTCCAGTACGAAAGCGGCGGGTGACCGCCATCTCGGTGCTTGCCCCACATACGTGCCCAGGTCGAGCACAACTCTTGAGCTTCCTCGGATGTTTTAACATGTGTTTCCTGGATGCACCACGCTTGAGGTCGAGCACAGGCAGGACGGCTTCGCCAGGCTGACATCCAGCCGATCCGTACACTTTTTTTAAACCCACGTACGTTCTGTGTGATATAGGTAGTACTTGGATGCTGTGAGAAAAAATGAGATCGTTCAGTATCACTGCCGGACCACTCAGACAGTAATGCGTGTCTACCGAAGGCATCCGCGTCGTCGAGATTGTACTGACGCAAATGCGTTGCCAGCGAATCGCGTAAAGTGCCTTTAGTAACAGACGAGCGCCGTCTCCGCTGCAGGCGTCAGAGCACAGTAGAAAAAACTCTCGACTGCCCTCCAGTCCACGTATTGACGGTCAGCTTGGTAGAAGGCAGACTTGTAGGCGGTATTGTGCTTTAGAAGCTGCAGATGCCGTCGAATTTGTAGATCAGGTGATGACGGCACCGCCACCCCTCCAGTTAGCACCCCTATCTCGTGCTCGAAGAGAAGAGCGCATATCAGGTGCTGACTATACCGAACCTTGCGGCACGGATCACATAGTTTTAAAATATCATCCGCAGCGTACTTCAGCTCACGTAATTTGTGCCAGTCGTCCCCGTTATCAATAAGCGGAGATAGGCCTGACCGAGCGGCTGTAGAAGTTGCGCGATCAATCCAGCCACCAAGCCAATCTTGTAGAGGCGCTGACGCCACCTTTGTACGAAATGAGTGCAGCCCAGATAGGAGGCTATCCTGTCGCCAACGGGCTGCCAAGTGGACCAGGACTTGAACGTCCAGACTTGCGAGTAGCTCGCAGGGGAAAACAAATCGCCGGAGATGATGAAGGAGTGCGATAGGATCCTGTCGAGCTGTTAGCACCCACTCCGCGGTCGTGCTGTCGACACGCGGACAAGCCGTCAATGCTCGGCTTGGCAAAAGACAGAATGAACAACGAGATAGCAGTGTTTGAGAGCGATAGACGCCGCGCACGCACTCGGGACCGAGCGACAGGATGGGGATGGCGGTATCGCGATAGTACAAAATGTTGACAAAAGCGCCACTCGTGAGAGCCTTTCCACACGAACGTAATGTACTGAGATTCTTTCAGAATTCCCAAAATTTCACAGTTAAGGTCAAACCAGTCAAAAATTAATCCCTGTCGCGTAAAAGCCCTTCAGCGAAAGCCTTTCTGTGAAAAGCTCAACAGGGTGCGGTTGTGCGTCGTGTATGCTGCGCTCGCAGCCGGAAGCCATAGACGGGTACTACGACCGGATGGCCCCCCAGCGCCACGTGTCACCGCTTTGTCTCAAGTGGCCGCAAACGAGTCGCCACCTCGAGCTGGGCGTCCTGATTTGTCGCCCTGCACTTCTCCGCTGCATAAGGCAGCGGTGCACAGAAAGTCCTTTCCGGGGCCACACGCATTGATATAAAACGCAATCGAGCTCTTACACGCCAGTTCTATGATCACAGATAAACATGATGACATGCGCACAGGAGAGTCTAAATCTCTCTCATACACCCTCGGACTGGCGGCCGGATTTTGGGCAACCGATTACGGGCAACTAATTACGGACGTCTGACTACTTGCGTCTAATTACGAATGCCTAATTGCGAGTGTTGGCTACGATAACTGAATACGGGCATCTATTACGGGCAACTGGTTACGATCAACTGATTACGGACGATTGATTACGGGCAACTGATTACGGGCTACCGATTACGAGCAACCGATTACGGGCAACCGATTACGGGCAGCCGATTACGGGCAACCGATTACGGGCAACCGATTACGGGCAACCGATTACGGGCAAATGATTTATGGACATCTGACTACATGCGTCAAAATACGAATACCTGATTGCGAGTGTTTGGCAACGGGTAACTGATTATGCGCGATTGATCACGGGCAAATAATCACGGGCAAACGATTTCGGGCAATTGATTACGGACTCCTTTGTTTGGCAAGAATCCTCCATTGCGGAATCCAGAATAAGTGAGGGTCTGCCTCGAGCATTCTTCTTGCTCGGCCATAGGTTGCGCGGGAGTAGAGACGTGAATTTTCACGGTCGACGGCATTCTCATGCCACGCGTCAAAAGTACGGTATGCGCACACGTTCGATTAAAAGGAAAGAGTGTTGGGGTAGACAAGTCACTAAGATATTATCCAGTACGAGAAGAAAATAAAAAGTTTATTTATATTGATAAATCCGAATGTATATAATTGGTAAAAATCATTTAACCTCGTGTCCCTATGTTTGTTTGTGTTACTCGTGACCGTGACAATCGTATCAGCCCCAGCTTGGCGCAATTACACGTTTCGTGGAGCGCGGTTTGTGTCGAGCAAATCCAGAAACCAGCAGTAGATTCGTGCGAAAGTCCTGAAACCAGCACCAGTTCTGAGACGAGCCAACATAGAGCACAGTTGATGTTAGCCACACCATTTATTAATGAAGACCACTCAATTTATTTGTGTGGTGTACTGGTAAAGTAAGAATTATGTAGAAACATAAATTAATACACCACGGTTTCAAACAAAATGGCGATGATTGATATGGAAGAGACTACGGTACCAATGTACTGTTGAAGAAACACATTTTCCAGACGGACATCTGCTGCAACAGTGTTTATACAGGACTACTATTTTAATCAAAATCGACAGGGCAAGGTCAAGAGGTGTAGTGGTGGGAGCACAACTTATGTGTGCCCACAATACGGGTGCCCGTGGGGCGTCAGTATTCGTGATGAATGCAGTGATGTCCGACAGTGCTATAGACGAATGCTTTCCGCGTGGGTCTGTTGCCTTCATACTCAATTGAACATGCTACGCATAGCTGTTGTAATGAATGAATACAATAAAAAAATTGCCAATGACGTTGCTTTAAACATGCTTGCTATACACTTTTAATATGTCGACCATCATAGCTTTCATGTACAGGAATCACAATATGCAAAACATCACGAGTGCAAACTTGCCGGCTCTACAATGACAATCCCCTCTCCCTCCACTTGCGGACATCCCTTGCTTCAATCATGAGCATCGTAGACGTTTTAAGCACGTACTTTGTGAATCGGACCTTCCGTCTGAGCTCGGTGCTCACTTATTGCGCCGGCATTAAGCAATTTCAACGCCCTCCCCTTGTTTCGCGACTTGATCAGCCCTTCTATCCGATACCTGGTGGCAAATCACAGAGCGACGACGTCAGTCCCACGTTTTACGTACATCTGGACTGGCGCCGACTGTTCGCAATCGACCTGCAAAGTATTAAACGAGAGTTTAACGATCTTGACAACGTCCAACCTATAACACGTTTCAAGCATGGAACAAACAGGATAAAAAGGACTTTAAATTGTGTTTAAACATATATAATTGCGGAGTACGTCGATCTTCGTACCTACGCACAGTCTGGTGGGTTGTCTACAGTCTGCTGATCACGCGCTGCGTCCCCTCCTCTCTCACGTGCATAGAAACAAACATAAACTCAGCAACCGTTTCTAATAGAACGTGCAGATGAATTACCATTTAGTACCTTCTCAGCGCATGGCTTGCTTCCATGCAAGGATGATAGTGCCATAGTCAGCAAAGCAGAGGCCTTTTACCTTTTTCGTAGGCGCTCGTGGGTCGCAAAATGAACAATGAGTCGTCCATTTGCCCAATAATGTCTGCCCAATGAGATCACACCAACAATTTCTAAAAATGGCAAGGATCGCAACCAATCACGCAGTTTCAATCACTGAGGCAGTTGGGAATGGTGTGGCTAACATCAACTGTGCTCTATGTTGGCTCGTCTCAGAACTGGTGCTGATTTCAGGACTTTCGCACGAATCTACTGCTGGTTTCTGGATTTGCTTGTTTTGGTGCTACTGGAGAGGGCTGAAGAATGGACTAGAAGAAGGATCGGATGCAGCTGGGGAAACGACCGGTAGTGATGCGTGGCGACGGAGAAGACGACGGAGAAGAAGCAGACACAAAGGTCACTGACGGACAGTGTGGTGGATCGCTTGTCGGCGTCACGTGATCTGAAGCAGGCGAGCGCTCGCACAGCAGCACGTGCTTCCAGCACAGAGCGACACAATAGGCGCGAGGTGCAACCTGAAACTTCGCCGAGCAAATGCGTCAAGGAACGGGTCAGAGGCGTGTCAATGTCAAAGGCAGCAGCAGGTCTGATGGACCGTGTGTTTGTTTGTTGTTTGTTTTTTGTTAGGTAAAGGAGAACTAAATGCGAGTGTCCTTGGTGTAGTCTTGCAAGTTAGTCGTGACTGCGTGTGGCTGAGGACACAGCGTGGGAGACGATCGAGTCGATAGGAAACGCCCCGACTGAGCGCTGGGGCCATACTGCTACCAAGATCTCGAACGACCGCGTGGTGGCCTACGGTGGAATCGATGACGAGGAGCGAACACTAGGGGACTTGCACGTGTTTGACATGCAAACACACCGCTGGAAGACTCCAATCAACTGCGAAACGATCCCGCGAACGTGGCACGACGCCGTGCACCTGCCTCTCAAGAATGTAGTGCTTGTGTTTGGGGGCGAGCGCACGGAAAGCGGTGATGGTGAGCTTGCCGTTCTTTCCGACGTTATGGTACTGGACACCGAGTGCTTCCTGTGGTTTCCACCGGCCATTCGTGGGCCACCTCCGTCGGCAAGAAGCGGTTACACTTGCACTGCTATTGGGAACGAAACCGTGGTGTTGGTGGAAGAACAGGACGGAATTGGCGGAGCACGGCACACATTCTGGACACTGGTGAGCAAGAAATGACGGCCAATGTAACGGGGCACACCCTTGCGTGAACTTAACGCAAGGGTTTCGGTGCCCCGACAGACGTACACAAGGCAAGCGAGGAAGCGTAGGTAAGGTAAAAGCAGAACTGTTATATTAATATAATCAAGTCTTTTAACTACTGTCTCTCTGTTTGACTTAACTTAATTATGCTAATATAACTGAGTGTATGGTGACGTCTCGTCACCACTCATTGCGCGCGTCTTGCGGCGATTGGTGGGTTGATATCATCAAGATATCAACCAATAAACAGCCTCTTTGGTCGACCCTTCAATATCACCACCATTGGTGATATTGTTCAAAGAATATTCAACTTAATATTCTTTATTGTCACTTTCTTTAAAGTGACAATTCCATGTAACGAGCTGACCCGTTACATCACCCCCCTGAACTGATAGTCACCGTGTGACTATCGAAAATATGGCGGCCACCCGTTGGCCACCATTGGGACAGGGAGCACTTGTTGGGTCCGTTCCATTCACTTTCCGCTTGACCTCGCATAGTTAACATGTCTATGCGAGGTGGCTCAAGACCCACACAGCCAGGTGCTGTGCCAGCCTCTGCGGCAGACGATTCGTCGTCTGCTGCTCCTTCTTCGCCTGCAGCAACAGGTGCTACAGGTGCACGTGGCACCTCACCGCGTGCGCACGATGACCCCGACGTTGAGGTCATCTACTCTGGAGAGTCAGAAGTGTCTGACTCGGGCAATACTCCAGAGGCGTCTCGCTCACCGGCGACGCCTCAGTATTCGCCAAGGCCATTGCCGAACGAACGGACTCGTGATTTGCATCACAGTCTGTTCGGCAGTGATCATGGAGGCGATCAGGGTGGTGAGGTGTAGTATTCCTTACCACCACCGACTCGTGCCTCTTCGCACGAGCGTGATGACGATGGCGCGAGCCGTCGTCAATCTGGGAGCCGTGGTACCGACAGAGGTACCACTGTGAAGCGTGATGATCTGAAGCCGTGGCGTTTGCCCGAGCGGCTCATCAATAGCTTGTCTCACGATACAAGCCAAAACCATCGAATAACTTTATTCGATGCGACTGAGCTTCACGGCTTAAGTTCCAGCGCAAAGAACTTTCGAGCTGAAGAAGAAATTATCTCGATGTCTTTCTTAGACATCGATGGTACAACGGCAACCAAAAGCGTGAAAAAGCCTCGTTTTTGGCTGCGTGGAACGCGTTCGTCCAAAACGTAAAGAATTTTGGACGAGATGGGTGACTCAAGAAACTTGAGGCGACACGCCTCAGGTTCGAAAGGCGAACGCTAACCGGTGCTAGGTATACCGGTTGCACTGTTTATCGAGAGAGGCAGGCATTCCTTGCCTCACATAAGGAGAACCTTGTGCAAGTTGTGTTGACAACTCGTAGCGTGTACATATGAGCGTGTATCCCCTAATTTAGCCCTGGGGAAGGGCACACATCTCGGCTGAGATGCATGACGCTATTTCAAACTTGCAATCCGTCTACAAGCGCGTAGGGCGCGTGTTTATCGATGAACCACAGGACCAATCGGATGAGTCTCGTCATACTGGTGGACGAGACCCTCAACATCCATCAACAGCTGAGAGCGGGGCTCCCAGCTGTTCCAAGAGGGTGGATACCCCCGCCACTGGACCAGGTAGCTCGTCCTTGATCCTAAATCGTCACAGTAATTTAAGATACGCTCCACTAGAAAGCGTTGATCACCGTGAGCATCCACCAAATGATGTGGTGGAGGAGGAAAGATCTCCTCCAGATGATTCGGTTCACCTTCTCGACCCTTACGAGATGGATCGTGCAATCGATGCATTGCGCGATGACTTGAAGCAAGAGCGCGACCGGCGCTACGCTTTGACTGATACCGTGCGGAAGAACTGCAAGGATCACGAGGCTGATCGGGCGAGAGATCGCGTCGATTATGCCACAGCGCAGCTTCAGGTCGAGCGGGATGTCCGCTCCCTTTTCGGCGAGCTGGCAACAGCTCGCGGGGATATATCTCGGTTGAGTTCCGAGGTATCAAATCTGCGCGACCAGACGGATCGTCTGGAGCGCGAACGCAAGAACTTGATGGATGCGGTTCTTGAACGTGGGGGCTATCTTCATCGGAAGAAGAAGGCTCGTACCGACAGTACGGTCTGAGTCGCCCCACGTAAAACGTGGGATGTGTGCGCATCTTACGAGGCAATTCGATCGTGTATGCATTGCCCTTGCGATGCAACACTCGAAATGGCCCAATGTACTTCGGCAGTAGTTTACTACAGCCGACACTAGTGACTGCATGTCCATGTAAGTTTACTGTAGACAGTAGTACTAGGTCGTTAACCTTAAATGAAAGAACATTTGCTCTTCCATTCTTATCTGCGTTCCGTTTCTAGCGGTCCACCGCATTTGCGATGGAGTCCTGAAAGAAACGGACTACCGCTTCTCGAGTCAGCAGGAAGTTCTCTGCTGACTCGTCGTTTTGTCTTTTCAGTGCGCTTCGTGCGCACTGCTAAGAGACTGTTCTCTTCTTCAGCGAGGTTGTCTTCTTCCTCGCTGGCATAATCGTTGACGATGCTGAATATACCAGCATCGTCATCATCATCCGAGTCAATAATATCGTCGCCTCTATTATTGAGGTGATCTTCTTCATCGATGTCGATTTGATCGACATCGGCATCATACGTGACGACGCTAGCGTCGACACGTGATGAGCAAGAGCCAAAACGGTTTTTGCTCGAGCGAGTCCCTCCCCCCCTATCCAAGAGTCACACTCTAGAAAGGCGGGCACACGTGGATGGCGTAAGCCATTCACGTAAAACGGTGTGTGCTGTGTGGAAGCATGCACCGAATTATTGATGGCAAATTCCACCATGGGTAGGAATTTGCTCCAACTCGGAAACGAGTGGAAATATCCTCGAAGGATCTCTTCGAGGACACGATTCGCACGTTCCGTCTGACCATATGTTTCGGGATGGTCAGAAGTAGACATCTTCAATCGTGTTCCGAGAGAACAGAACACGGTTTGCCAAAATGCCGCCGTGAACCGAGGGTTACGGTCGGATACGAGTTCACGGGGTAACCCGTGGAGTCGAAAGACCGTGTCTAGAAAGACGCGAGCAAACCTTGAGCCTTGATCGACTCAGGTACAGCAGCAAGATGGACCATCTTGCTGAAACGGTCAACAAACACAAGAATCCCATTATTCTTGTGAGCGTCTTCGGGAAAACCGAAGACGAAGTCCATGAAAACGGACTGCCAGCACTCTGCCGGAACAGGCAGAGGCTGCAATGGCGCACGGGGTGAAGGACTAGGCTTCACCCGTTGACAGACTTCGCAAGAACGAATGTATTTGCTTACGAACTGATACTGGCGGGTCCAGTAAAAGTCACGACTTACCGTGAGGAGAGTCTTTTCCCTACCACGATGCCTGCCTGATGGCTAATCGTGACATTCGAACATGATGCTTACACGCAAATCGTCATGATCGGGAACGACGCCACGAGGTGTATCGTCGGCAGCTGCTGTGTAGTACATCAGGCTATTGCGAGTCGTATAACGATCCAACGAAGTACGGTATAGAGCCGGCAAATCCGACAAGGATTTCCGGGATGGGTTCGCAAGGTGACCCATAAAACGAAGAAGAATCATATTTCCTGCGTGTGCCTTCCGCACGTCATCGAGTAAAGGCGATGACATCACACTGACTGAAAGTGCCGCAACAGTGGGAAAGTCCTAACAGTTGGCGCGTGTTGTCTGCTCGAAGTCGGGCCGACGTGGTAGTGTGGTAAAGTCACTAATTAAATGATGGGAAGTGGATCGGTGGCCACCCAGTTAAGGTTTCACTTACTGGTGGAAAATGAGACCATGGGACCTGGCGATCCAATAAGAGATGGGAGGCGATCCCAACGGAGAAAGACGATCTGATCCAACTGCCGTCAGATTGATGGGTATGGAACGATCTGGGACGGGGCGCGGTAAGGGATGATTTCAACAGGCGATCTAAGACAAGGGTCTCCCCATTTGAGGCAAGGAATGTCTGCCTCACTCGACAAACAGTAAAACCGGTAGCTAGCACCGATTGGCGTTCGCCTTTCGAACCTGAGGCTTGTCGTCTCAACTTTCTTGAGCCACCCTTCTCGTCCAAAATTCTTTACGTTTTGGACGAACGCGTTCCACGCAGCCAAAAACGAGGCTTTTTCACGCTTTTGGTTGCCGTTGTACCGTCGATGTCTAAGAAAGACATCGAGATAAAATTCTTCTTCAGCGCGAAATTTATTCGCGCTGGGATCCAAGCCGTGAAGCTCAGTCGCATCGAATAAAGTTATTCGATGGTTTTGGCTTGTATCGTGAGACAAGCTATTGATGAGCCGCTCGGGCAAACGCCACGGCTTCAGATCATCACGCTTCACAGTGGTACCTCTGTCGGTACCACGGCTCCCAGATTGACGACGGCCTACGCCATCGTCATCACGCTCGTGCGAAGAGGCACGAGTCGGTGGTGGTAAGGAATACTACATCTCACCACCCTGATCGCCTCCATGATCACTGCCGAACAGACTGTGATGCAAATCACGAATCCGTTCGTTCGGCAATGGCCATGGCGAATACTGAGGCTTCGCCGGTGAGCGAGACGCCTCTGGAGTATTGCCCGAGTCAGACACTTCTGACTCTCCAGAGTAGATGACCTCAACGTCGGGGTCATCGTGCGCACGCGGTGAGGTGCCACGTGCACCTGTAGCACCTGTTGCTGCAGGCGAAGAAGGAGCAGCAGACGACGAATCGTCTGCCGCAGAGGCTGGCACAGCACCTGGCTGTGTGGGTCTTGAGTCACCTCGCATAGACATGTTAACTATGCGAGGTCAAGCGGAAAGTGAATGGAACGGACCCAACAAGTGCTCCCTGTCCCAATGGTGGCCAACGGGTGGCCGCCATATTTTCGATAGTCACACGGTGACTATCAGTTCAGGGGGGTGATGTAACGGGTCAGCTCGTTACATGGAATTGTCACTTTAA